ATATATATATATATATATATATATATATATATATATATATATATATCAAGATACAATAGACGCTACGTAACCCCACAAAAAGGGAAGAAATCCCAACAAGAATGACCCTTGCGTTAGCAGATGATCACCCGAGGCAAATTTGAACTGAATCTCACGGGAGATGTGCACTGACCACTTGGCACTACCATACCATACCGACCAGTCCAAAATGCAGGGTTTTATTTCAGCTATGTGGAGAATGTGCTGTGTTTCGAATAACTTCTGAGACTCTCTATTCTTTTCCGATTAAAACGACGAACCGCTGGCCGCTTTTGGTTTTCGCGCTCCGGCAATTGCGCGAGACTTATTTTTTTGTGTTACCTTGCGCCTGCCTGATCCGCTGGCCAGAACAACGCAAAAATAACTACGCATGGCTATACAAAATTAACTCCGAGGGCCATGTAAATACCCATATCCTTGTTTCCTTCCTTTCTTTGTAAATTGTCGGATGCAATGCGGTCGCAATCTTCTGCAAAGGGATCTAAAGCACATCCAGAAAGAAAAGAAAAGTGTTGCATAAATGCAATATCATCATTGTTATAAAAATAGATCTATTGTGGGAAATAGTAGTAAATGCTGTCGGAAAGTGCTCGATACACGTGAGTGTAGAGCGAAATACAGTTCAAAATGACTAAAATGAAACACGCACGATTCCCTGTTACTCTGAGTTTCGTGCTTTCGCACTGATATACATCAAGTTGCTTGGATCATCCTCTCCCATCAACTCTTTTGTAACGCAGATGATAGATCGGGTGGCATCTGGTATGACACAAGGAACATCACTTCCAGAGGACCGTACCTTTTCTGTCGTACGTCAACAGAGTTATTGGTTAACTTTGAGTTTCGTCTTGTCGCCGAGAGCGCTGCTGGATTTGAGCCCGTTACCTTCATTATCTTTGTAAAGACGACGACGCAAGATTGGTACATACTAACACTGGTAAGTAATCATTCTTTTTACGCATATGTTGATCAATAACAAAACTAAGCAGATTGTTTGGCTTGATTCTCATCAAAAAGTTATTAAGAAGTTGACTCCTCGCTTAAATTCTTACTAAGAGTTTTTTGATCGTCCTTCATTTATATCTGTTACTGTGCCTTATCTTCCTTTAAAGATAACGAACATTCCAACATCATCATAATTTTTTTTGGGCAATTCACTCACGTGATTAGGGACCTCCGCTCCTCTGATTGGCCGAGATTTTGTCCTATGTACCTTGCCTTAAGCAGCCTGCATGAGTTGTTTTTAATACAGAAGCGCTAGTTGAAAAATAGCATTAGCATTATTTTTTATTTTTCGGAAGAAAACAACCAGACCAATAGGCCGACAGAACAGCAAAACAAAAACAAAAAAACAAAACAAGCCAATTTTACTGACTGAATTGAAATCATGTAAGTTATTTTCCTCCTGCCTAATTTGTTAAAAAAAATCGCTCTCATTAATTCCTTTGCTTTAACTGCTTAACGATGTTTAGCTCATCTTCGGCAAATATTGAAAATGATACTTATTCATAATTTTTATCATCATAACATCATTGTAATAATTATTACCCTTATTATCATACTCATGGCAATTATCATCATTGTCATTATTATTTTTATCATCCGTTTTTTTTTCAAGTTAGAACACGCATCAACGATATAAGAGCATTTCAGTTTTTTTTTCGACTTCTAATCACAGCCAATACATAGTCTCACACTGTTATCAATTCACTCTTTTTTGCAATGCTCTTCGAAACAAAGTGGCGCTGGTCACAGACAGAGCGCCTAGTGCAGGCTAAATATATTCATATATCATTTCGATTCAGTCTTCAGAGCTTCCATTCTATGCAAATGATCTTCATAAAGGCTTTAAAATGCAAGTAGCTTTTGCCATGGTAACATCAAAGGGACTACACTCTGCACAAGATTTTAAAAAATTCCGCAATATTAGCAAATGGATGTCGACGTTGAGTGGTAAGTCTTTGTTTGCGAGAAGATTAAAACTGAAACAAAAAATTAATCTGGTAACAAAAATTATCAAGAAGTCCTCAGATTTAATCATTTTGACAATTATTTTCTGTTCATCAGTTGATAACATTAAATGCATTTTAGTTGATATTGAGTAAGTCACGACTTGCCGCCGTCAAAAAACGCATGAAGCATTGAAATTTTAAAAAATTTGCTCTCACAACAGCATATCCATGTGAACAATAAGAAACAGTCTATTTTTCACAGAAAGAATCGAAGAATAAGCCGCGTTTCATAGACTCTTACATCCTTAAGAGTGATCAGCATCTAATTTTCCTGACAGCAATACTCCTCGATCATTAATTAAGATCACGAGTAAAAAGGAATTGGTTGCCAACCAAAGAATCTTTGATTATTAAATAAATTCTCCTTGTCAGTACTAAAGGAAATCATATTGAGAAGAGTATGGAGAAAGTAGATACTGATGTTAGGGTGTAAATGTTTTATATTAACGTCAGGTTTCCCAACATAAAGTTATCCTAGCTTCTAGTTGTTTTTCCGAAAAGTACTGCACGACAACGCTGAACAGTCAATCGTAGGGGTGGTGCGGTGATACTGAATTAAATAAGTCGATATAACAATTTTAGATGTGTTTTTTAAGAATGTCATATTTTCTCTGTAGTTTTTAAAATATTCGTAATCCCGTCTCATTTCTCATACAACCCTTCTTGATCTACTGCATTTTAATTCAGATGAAGATCCTATAGACCCTCCTAGGGACGTGAACGTTGATTTGAAACCAGCAGGCAACAAATTTGAGGCCCATGTGACTTGGGGTTTGGCGCCGCACAGTAAGTGAATTTTTGCGCGAAACTCAGATTTGACTGAATTGTAATGGCACACATCAAGAAAACTTGGAAACTCTGGATCACCACTCTTTTCTATAAAACAATAGAAAAATCTGCATGAAACGAAAACAACATTTTTTTAAAATTCTGTCGTTCTTGGTGTTACTCATATGAATGCACCCAATCTTAAATACGAAACTTTTGAAGCTGGGGAGAGGTTTAGCCTGAATTTCAACGTTTTCAGAGTTGTTTGCCTGAGAGTTTGACGTGGGTGTCTAGGATAATAATAATAATTTATGGACTTATGTCGCACGGTTATCGATATAAAAGTTTTAGTTGCGCATTGCAATGTTTACAACTTAAACTACACCAAAATATTAAAGTTGAAGGTCGACTTCAAGGTTGAAAATAAAATATATATTCAAATTACAAGAAAATTAGCTCATAGTAAGGAGAAAAAAAACAAATTCTTAACAAAAAAATCTCAATCGATCTTATCTCTCCTTGCCAAAGGTAGAAACTGTTTCATCGATTTATGGTTGACTCTTGTTGAAAATTTTGTAGGCAAAACATGTGACTACATGATTGACTGGCGAGCTAATGAGGAAGATCACTGGAATATTGAAAGTTATGAACTTGATCGACATAAGGTAGGCTGCGCTCTTACTAAAGTCATTTGAACTTTTATCGATCTAATAAGTTTTTCATTTCTGTTTTAATTCTATCAGCATCATGTAGGTACAAAGATGTATTATGTGCTACAAGGTTTATTGCCAAACGAGAATTACACTATAGATGTAAGTTTTTAATTAATTCATTTATTTTTGACACGCATTTGATAACGTTAGCTGTCATATCAAATATTTTCACTTGTTTGTTGATAAAGCTGTACTACCAAAAAAAAGACTTAAAAAGTCCTACGCAATATAACGTTTTTTTAGGTTTTCAAACAACATCCTCTGCTTTGAATGCACGTTTGTCTTTCAACTTCTGAAGAAAATTCGTCTCTGTAAAATTTCTGTGATTTTCATCATTGTTTTCACGAAAGGATTAGTAGATATTGGTATGAGAAATTTATAAGTGGAACTTCATTATCGCAAAGATAAGTCCTCCATGACACAATTTCCCTGGCAAATTGCGTCTAGAGAAATGTGCCTCTCAATCTCACCCAATATGAAGTGACCGTGAAAAAGAATGAAATAATATTTAGTTCCTATGCAATAAATTATGCCATTGTTTAGATTGCGTGTTGCACAGATCAGCAATAATCAAGTCTTTTTTCTCGCATTTTAGATCATATCCACCACTTCTGATGACAAAGAAAATAAAAGCACCGTCTATATTGTTACTCCATCCTTGAGTAAATATCACTTTTTTGATCATAATCACATATATGTAGTGACTGTTTATTCTTCTGTTCTATCAGGAGTCCATTGAGTAATGAGCTAATGGTTCTATACCAGTCCTTTTGCCGTGATATGATGTAGATAGTGCACTCCGACAGTTATTTGGTGCGGAAATATTTTTCTTTGATTAGCCATCGCATAAAATTCATCAGCGTTGGCAAATTCTACAGATTTAAAAGGCTTATATATCGATCAGAAAATGTGGCATGATTCTTTAAACGAAATTTAAAATTTTTCATCTTATCAATATTCGTACAACTGATCTAGCTTTAGAATAAATTAGGTCATGATCATCAATTGCCCTTACACCATGATTTTCCTTCAGATTGTTTCAATAAAACTGGCTTTAATTACACCTGCAGTGAGTATAAAACCTGCAAGGCGTTTTTTTTATGTCATTGGCAAGTGACAACATTATTTCATTAGTCTCGAGTTTTAAGTTTTAAGTTTTCAATTTTATTGCCAGTTATTTCTCATAAATGATAACGCTAAACAAAGGATCATAAAGATATAATCATGTTAAACTAACGTACTTTTTAAGAGCAATTAAAAGTTTAGTCTGTTCTAGGCATTTAGTGGGTAAAACGGAGTGAAATAAAAAATGGCGCGAAAATTGCAGGAGAGAGAAAAAGCGAGCGAAGCCTGGATCGGATAAAACTCGATCCAGAACTCCCTCGTTTTTTCACTCCTCCAACATTATAGCGCTGTTTACTATCGTTTCATCAACGGAACGCCTGGAACAGACCATTCAAAATTGATCGTCGAAAGCTGGACATCCGGGGTTTCATAGGTTTTGGTTCCTTTGCTATGTGATTGTCATATAGGAATCGCGCGCCGCCCTCTCAAGCAATCAGATCAACAAATAAATCCGTTAGCAACTTGATCAGATTTTGTAGCGGGAAGCATGACCATCTCAGAGAGCTGGTTCTTTTGCAAAGCCATGAGATACAAGGACTCTTGAGACTGGATTTAAAATCAACTTTCTTTCACACCGACCCTATCCTTCTCTCTTTCCCAGTCCTTGGTCCACCAGAGAACCTAACCTTGGTCAACGTCAAACACCTGTCACGCAATACGTCAAAAGCTGTGGTCACGTGGTGGCCGCCACATAATATATTCTCTACAGATCATATACAAGAATACAGATTAACGTGGAGAAAGATTCCCATCCTAGTAGGACAAATGTCCGAACCTCATAGTGATTCTACAAAATTACCACCAGTAAGTAAGAATCCTGTTAGGAAGATCTCTCTGAAATTTGAGGGAAACCTCGAAATGACCAGCTGTTCTGGCAGAAAACTCACGAAGGGGGTATCACCAAGTAAAATTTTGAATCGGCTCTCGAGAGCCACAAGATCAAGTAACATCCTCTGTTAAAGTCTCCTTCCGTCGATTGATTTCGTTTCGCAAAGCAGCGATTTGTTACGAAGGAGACCGGCTTTTTCAAGAATTTTTCAGTCGTAAGTTCGCGCACACTATGCCAGCCAATTGAAACCAATACTTTGAAGTAGCGCTTAGCATTCTTAGACGGTCAGGTTTCGTCGTGATAAACATAAAGGTTAATTAATCAAATGGCTGGCTAAGAGCGCGGACACGATGAAGGGAATCTCAACAGGCTACGTACCTCAAGTGCGCTGAACATTGCCATCTTTGTTACCGCAATAGAGAATAGTTTTGGTATAATACTTTGGAATAATAGTAAATGCCTCATCGACCAAAACTGTTCCGTCAACATGACTGGATATTTGCCCGCTCACTTTTGCGTTTCAATGAACCTTAACTTTGTTTCTGCCCAAGGGTAGCGCAAAAAGGTACTTGAGAAAAATCCATCAGATCTAATATCCTCGTTTATTGTTGTTCTCTTACAGGAAAACACCAGTTTTCAATTGGTTGGTCTTCACAATGGTTTCCCTTACATCTTTACGGTAGACTCGTAATACACTTTGCACTTAAATGGCATATAATTGATTCAGTTTTAACCTCGGTACCCCCTTCAAGGGGCTGATACACTTTGTTTGTTTTAAAGATCTCTGATAACACCTGACCGATCCTTACCTCACTGTTTGGGTCGTCCATTGTTTACACCTTCACGTGCCCAGTACATTTGATATTTTATTTTGATAACATCAGGTAGCAGCAGTATCACCAATGACAGGGAAAGGAGAGGAAGCGAAACTCTTTTTTAACACCTCAGGTGCGTCCGTGAATCGTATCAAATTGGTTGAACCGTTCGAATCAAATAAAAGATAAGCACAGTCAACTCTCCGCCAATGAACACTTTCCCGTTTTGCCTCCCAGTCAGACTCTGTATTTACACATTTCCGTTAGTGGACACTCTCATGTAAGCGAGACGCGCACACTTTTGAAAATGAAAATTGGGCTTTACGTTTGTGTACACTCTATCGTAAGCGGACACCCCATGCATAGTAATTGAATCTTAGCAATGAAATTTTTCTTAACTTGCAAATCAACAAAAATATGACCTGACGCAGGAACAGAACAATGGGGGTTTGGTTTTGTCCGTTCGTTTTACATGAATAAGACCCCTACATGACATTAGTGGTGTCACGTTATGGCCTCGTTGGTCATGGTCTACGTTAAATTCTCAAGTAAGCGGACATCCGCCCTATTTTTCTTACATGATCGCTCATGGGATTAATTCTCGTAGGTGGACAGTTCCACTAACGGACACTTTTTCCAATTCCCGAGGGTGTCCGCTTCGAAAGAGTCGTCTGTATTATGGGCTTCAGGACTCAAAAATCAATATCATGGATTACTGCAGAGTATTGCTGCTCCCCACAACCCCTCACCCCACGGTCACCCTCAGTATTTTATCTTACTTCTCTGATGGTCATCTACACTGTTGTGTGGAGAGAGAAGGGCTGTTCAATCGAAGCAATATGTTTTATCTAAGGACATGATCTAAATGACCCATCGATTCGGAATGCATTGTGCTAACTTCTAGCCTGGCTTACTTCCCTTCAAATGATATGAAATATTGATATTTCTACCGCATGCTCTTTTTTCACAGGTCCTCCTGTTCGCGGTATCAAATACGCCCAATCTTCACCTACTCATAAGGCGGGCACGCCCTTCCCATATCTGGTGACAGCACTCGTGCTGATAACTGTACTTGCCTGCTTCTTCGGTGCCACCTATTTATACATCAAGAAGAAATACGGAAGTATATCCTCAGCTGTGCAGCAGATGCAAGTTCAGTATATCAACAGCAGAGCTATGTAAGTTGAAGCTTAAAGTTACAGGCTTAAATCAAATTTGTGTTCGAGCAGATAATAAAGGCAAAGCCTCTAACCATCGGCTGCATGTGGTAAGCATACAAAGGAAGCTTATGGGAAACCCGAAGAAGATTGTGCTAAAGAAGTTGGAACTAAAACCAAGAATCGAAAATAGTGAAATATGGCTTACTTCATGCGTCGAAACTTGTAATGGGCACAAAAAGAACCCTGTAGGAGACTGAAGCATTTTGAAAACTAGAAGTGACCGCTATTCCTGAAACTTAAATATTTAGTTTTTACTGGTAAAATGTTTTCAGGTTGTTATTTAACGGAGGCACGTTTTCGTCGGATCTCCTTACCATTGAGCCTGATGAATGGGAAGTGGAATACAGCAGTGTTGCCTTCGGACAGCAGATCGGCGAAGGAGCTTTTGGAACTGTTTCCCAAGCCACCGTTATCGGCTTGATGGGTTTTCCAGTACTTAAGGAAGTTGTTGTTGCTGTCAAGAAATTAAAAGGTAAAGCAGTCGATAGTTGAGAATTGTTTTATGCTCGATCAACGTACGTGTACCGAGGTATGGATGCACACGAGAAGTTCGGAGAGCACAAGGGAAGCTTACTTGTTGTTTGAGCGGCGCTCAAGAACAACTCAAGTCTATTAAGCCCTCTTTGCACTAAACTTTCCAAGTGCATTTACACCCCAGTCGCTTAAGCAAATCCAAAAGTATTAAACGACTTTTTTCTAATAAAGTGGAAACAATTTGAGCGCGATAAATAGGATTTGGATGTTAATATTGTCGTGACACTATAATGATGTCACTTGGAGTAATGTTAACTTTAATGACGTCATCAGGAGAGATGCGACATAATGATGATGTCATTTAGGGTGATGCACCATCATAATGACGCAAAGTGATGTAATTTTATTTAATGCAATTTTCAATAACATGACATCATCATAGACTATTGATCCCTCGGAGCTACTTGACTTTTTATGACGTTAATGCTTTAACTGATAACATAAAAGTTACTTGAAGGAGCTACTTTTTCAATCTGTGAAGCACCAACCGAGGACTATAAAAATTTCCTTCTATTTGTCTGGTTTTTAGCAAACGCAAACGTGGAAGACCGGCGGAACTTCCTCACAGAGATATCACTGATGAAAAGCATCGGCAAACATCTGAATATTGTCAGCATGCTGGGATGTGTGACGAGTAGCGGCCCGCTATGTCTTATCACCGAGTACTGTCCTCATGGAGATCTCAGGAACTACCTCAGACTCATTCGGGATAAGGTGGGAGATTGTGTAACTTTGAACTGTGTGTTACTATGACTACTTTGGTATTGCTTTTGGCGTTCCGTGATTGGTCTAGGAGACTCGAACCACACTTTATTTCGATCAGAAACAAAATTTAGACCAATCCTAACCTCGTCACTTATGTTTCCCGCGCTTGACGTAGCTTATTTATTTATGCGTTTTCATTGGTTATTTTTCTAAAGATATGCCTTTGCTTTGATTGGCCAACGTGGCTGCTTTGCTTTTATGGCGACACTCAATTCAAACGCGATCTGATGATCTTGTCACGTGCAGGCAGAACAGAAACAAACTCTTTTTAAAAAAGTTTGTTACATTTACAGAATTTTAACGAATGCAAACTTAGAAGGAAACTGTGGTTCTTTCCAACTTGGAAAAAAAAAGAGTGAGCCATAAATTGCACGTTGCTATCCATGTAAAGCTCTACAAGGCCTTAGGAACTAACACGATGACTCACAATCATGAGCTGCCTTGTGGCCGCGGTCCTGACGTTACTGGAAAAGGAAAATAAATTCCGTCATATTGCCGGGAAATTGTTTAAAAAGTTATTACCACAGTTCCGTTTGGAACGTGATAAATTTATCAAAAATTGATGTCTTGGAGATTACTAAAATCTTTCAAAGAAGTCACACGACAGATAAAAGTGTACAGAGTTGTCAGGTGCATGCAGCCATTGATTCACGTCTTCCATCTTCTCAATCAGAAAAAGAATCCGCACTTTGTTCTGCCCAGTGACTTTGTGAGCCCCGTCTTCAAAAGGAAAGCACTGCATAGTAATAAAGGATCAAAGAGTCCAAGTCCGGTGAAAAAACTTAAGGTAATAGCACTACACCCGGAGGAGATATGGTTTATCCTCTCTTGACCACAAATGTTGACGAAATATTGTATAAATGTTGGTGAATGGATTACACTTAACACAGGCCCATATTTAAATGATTTATGGCTTGCATTGCGCCTGGGGAAAGTTGTTTTGGTATTCAAATAAGTGTGGCCACTCTCTTATCAACGTCCTTGCATGTACTCTTTTTCAATATTTCATGGTTGAAAGTTATTGCAACGGTCCCCGTTTTGTGTGCCATGGGATGGTTCATACATTTACTCTTCTTTGATCGAACTACGACGACAACGGCCATTCTAGCGCCTGCCCACTGCAACAGCCAAAATAACAGCCAGCTAGTCACTGACTGATGAACAACGTGACAAAATGCGTGACAATTATCTCAGGCAAACGAACCCTGGTGGCCAAAGTATATTTCGTGAGAGAGGAATTAATTACTTTTCAGCATTAAGAGCGGACGTTTAACAATCTAATGTTATCCTAGTACTTAACGCCAACTGTTTTGTTGACAATCTAATTATGATAACTTATTTTTGGTTTCTTCTTCATTTACTATTTTGATCATTTCATGTATCCAGGTGCTGCAGTGAGCATTTTCAAGTTTAATTTTCCTCTTACCTTCCTATAGTGGCTCCTCTCTTAAACAGGAATTTCCCCTCAAAGTGTTCTGAAAGTGGACGTTGTAGATGGTTCAGAATCAAATGTAAACAAATTCTTCAAAAAGGTTCATTTTGCCACACCGCGCACCACCTCGACTGCCACGAAAGCTTACCTTTTGCAAAAACATAAAGCTGAGGATTGTCATTATCGCAGGGTTTTTTATTTTATATTTTTTGTCGACAGCAAGCTTTCTCTGCAAGCTGCCTTCAGGTTCAAAATAGTGACGATGAGAATCAGCCTGAAAACACTGAGGGAACATTCAGTAAGTACAGAACTGCCTATTATTTCCCTCTTATCGGCCTTTCTTTAGCCAGGTGAGTAAAGCGTTTACTAGGTGGAATTCTGCGAAGGCATACGAAGACCTCTCTCCGCTGGTACTGAATTTTTCTGCTGCTCAGTTTTTCCCAAAAACCACATGCGATTCCCACTTAAAAGGAAAAGGAAATTCAATTTATACATAATAGAAAAGAACAATTAGCGACTTCCTCCCTTGTGCTTTCATGATGGTCTCTCCAGGGCCTGAAGTTACGATGATTATCGATGAGTCATCGATAACTCATCGTAAACACACCGTTCGGTTATTATTAATTTCTTGATGATGTGATTCCGTTTCAGTGTCAAGCTACGATTTAAAACCTCGTGAGACGGACAGCAATCACAGCCTGTTGTCTTCAGTCAGGTAGAAATGATGTACCGCGATAGAATTAGACATATGATGCTCGTTTATCGTAAATCACCTCAAACCTCTCCTGTCCAGGCAGGAATGTACAGCAGAACTGTGGCCTCATGGTCAGTGCGCTGGACGAGAGGTCTTGGTTCGAGTCTGAGACCAAGACCTGGCCAGGTGAATAAGTTTTCTTGGAAAAAAATCTTCACCCTTACAGCGACTCTCTCCACTCCGGAGTAAATGGATACCCGCGAATTACCAGATAAATGCTGCGGGGGAGGGGGCTAACCTTACGATAGACTAGCATCCCATCCAGGAAAGAGTTGTGAAACTTCAACCTGCTTCATGCTAAGGAGACCAGGAGTACGCTCCACCTGGTTGGGCCAGGCTCGAGTACAGTTTTTACCTTTACCTTTTCAGCTGAGTGGTCATAATCTGGGGTCTTACTAGTTTTTTTCGAGGCTTGACAGGTACCTCTGCCAGTTCTCTTCCTTTACAGAGGGGTTCATGTTTTCCTTTACCTTTGCTACACACTAATGTGTATGCTTTAGCTGACAAGCACTTTACGCCCTCTGATGCAGAAAGTGTTCTTTTCAAAGAGGTAACACTAAGGCGTCGACAAGTCTGGACCCCACAATTATACAGATTAATCATAAATCTTCCGTCGATCTTTCCCTAAAATCTTACCACTTAGCTTGCAGCTATCTTCATTGGCCACTTGATTTGTAATAGAAAATTCTCGAGGCCCGCTGCCACGCACGGTGTTCTCCGCACCGCAGTAAGGTGACGCCAAAACTTGAGCGATCTTGGACCTTAGTTTAAGCTTCACACCCAACCTTTTAGGTCTCCTACTTCAAAATTTTTCCGTTTCATTTTCATATCAACTTCTCTCCTGGTATAGCTGTCTGTGCAACGATGCATGCAATTGTTCTGTCCAGCCGGTGCATGGAAATGACTACGTGAACCGCCAACGCAGTTGGAGCCATGAATCATCTTCTTCCGCACCTATGAAAAATCTAAGAATTCCTCTAAAGATCGGAACGTCAGTTCCTTCAACCCCCCTAAATCTCTCTCCCAGTGCCACGCCAATTCTCTCGGGAAGTACAAGCAAAGGCAGCTCAGTTCAGGCGGGTGGTTTCATGCTTGAAGAGAAGAGAGATGACATCTGCATCGTGGTCACAGACGCTGATCCAAATCTAAACCCCTGGGGTAACACAAGAAAAGTTTCCGCTGGGGAAAAGTGGATGGCGAATTTTGTACCAGTAACCGAGCAAGAGAAGAATGAACAAAACTCCCCGAAGAAAAGATCGTCTACTCTGAGTAAGTAATTTCATTATTCATTGTTGTAGGGTTATATGTAAGAGGAAGGAGTAAATTTTTTTTGTGGAAAAATTTGTGGTTGAAAGGATTGGTATTAGGGATACTCACTTCCATATCATCCAACTGCCCTTCGGTTCTTTTTCTTCTTCTTTCTTTGTTTCCCCTCGTCTTTCTATATTGGAAAAACTTACGGAGGAAGTTTAAAATGTTGAAACGATAACAAGGCCAGACCAAAACACGGGGGCTCCGTTCCCTATCCTCTGTCTCCTACTTGTGTGGGTTCTTTGGTTCTGCTAACCAGTACAGAGAAAAGACGCAGGAGACGGAGCCCACAGTTCATCATCCTTATCCGAGAAAATTTGACCATTTAGCCATTTGAAGATGCCATAACGAAGGAAGCACACTCTCCTCAGTTACTTTTTACGACCCTGAGTGTTTGTCTTGTCTGAGGCTTGAAACCTCGACCGCCCGCACGTCAGTCCGGCGCTCTAAAACACCAATCGAAGGGCTAACGCTCGAAACGTCAGCCTTTTAACTCTTTACGATGGTCAGTTAACGTTATCAACTCAGTTGATACTACTAAATCATCCTGTTGCACTCTCCCACCGACGCACTTTCTTTAGAAACTTAATCCCTTTATTGCTCTAAAACACCTACTCACCAAGCCACGGTAATCTGAATGATACCCAGGCCAACTGTCGATGAAATCTCATTTTGAGAACATGGTCAGAGAGGTAAATAGCACGAGTAAAAAGTACAGAATCTTAATCTTCACTTAAGGGGCGGCTGGATGGGGTGTATCAAGTGAACGAGATCTCATAAAGATCAGTTGGGATTCATCAGCCGCTTTACGATCCTAGGTCCATCTAAGAGTGAGGAGCGACTGCGGAATGAAAACAGAAGGAGAAGCCTTGAAGAAGACATGAGGGAAGAACTAACACAGAAAGTCCTCCTGTCATTTGCAAGACAGATAGCCGTGGGCATGGTAACTTAGAAGTCTGCTGCTTTTTAGCGAAATCGTACCATCAACCCTTTGCGTTCTGCATGATATATTAGGTCACGACATGAGATGAAACTGTCTAAGATCAGAGGTTTCAATAACTTTTTACTCGCAGGCTGAACAGACAGCAGTGAGAGGTTTTATAGGCAGTGGTAGACCCCTCGTGGACTGCTTTTGTTGAAACTCCTGTCAATAAGACGCAAATGTTTCCTTTCATCATCATTTGAAAGGTGCACCTAAAAGAAATATTGTTGAAAGGTTTGGTGCTTTCAAACACGCTTTACCTCGTCGATTATTTTAGGCGCAACCGATTACATTTGTGTTTCAATGCGTCTAACGTGCTGAACAGTTTTTTTCTTTGCCAAAGTATTTTTTTACTTTCATAACTTTCTTCGTCCTCTCAGGAATACTTGTCACAGAAGAAATTCATTCACCGCGATCTGGCAGCGCGTAATATTCTTGTCTGCGATGATAATCTTGTGAAGATATCTGACTTTGGCCTGACCAGAGATGTTTACGAGAGTTGTGAATACCAAAAGGCCCAGAGTGCAGGAAAACTTCCCATCAAGTGGATGGCGATTGAATCTCTCTTCGACAATAGTTATACCACGCAAAGCGATGTGTAAGCAGCTCAGTTTTTTTTTCTCCTTCTTGTTAGAGTAATTTTATTGAGCGTAGAAAGCAATTCAAGATTGCTGGCTCGCACTTGGTGTAAAGGACGCAATTGACTTTAAAAAATAGAGAACAAAACGGAAAAAGAACGAGGAAAACAATAAAAACAACAACTGAGGCGGTGTGCCATTGTGCCTTCTCACAAGAAGGAGCCAGATTTCTTCGGTTTCGCTTTACTTCACAAGGTGATTGGTTTAAAAAAAAAACTCGCGTCATCCTCTCGACAAATCAGATTTAAAACTGAAACCAAGCTTGACTTGGTTATTCGTAGTTTCCTCACGTCGTTTTCAGCCGTTTACAAACTTTTCCTTGAGTTGTCATTGGCTCCCTGTGATGTCATCTCTTTTCTGATTGGATGGTGTATTTACTCTAGTTCGTATTTTCGACGTTAATCGAAAATCGCCCTAATTGACATATGACCGAGTCGTGATTTTAATCAATTCGGAACTAAAGGGCTTAGTTAGGTAATGACGGTACATTATTTTTTCAATTCGAATATGATGTGCCGTGACACAGCAAACCTAGTGACTGCGTAAATTGCCATTCACATGACACAGATAACGTTAAGGTCGCATTAGAACTGAATTCTTCAAGTTTAAAAGAAATTCCGGGAGGCATACACTTATACAATTGTGCTTTGGATAAAGGCGTCTTTGTTGATTGAATGACTAGATTAAAACCATTTCTCTGGTCAGTTTTACCTCTTATTACTGGAAGGATTGTGTAAGTTTTCACCAGATATGCCATTCTCATCCTGTTCATGAACAGTTTAATATGGATGTATATTATTATATGCAACGCGTAGGACTGTATTTACATCTCGAATTGCATCGGGAGCGAACAGCATCTCAACGAAATAATTGATGAAATCCAGCAGACGGCCGAAACACGACAGTTTTATGTAATTTAAACATGGGGGAGGGGTAATATGAATTAAAAAAGGAAAAATGACCTAAGAAAATGGCTAAGGAACTAAATTTATAACTTTTTTATTCGTATTTTAGGTGGTCGTACGGCATTGTGCTCTGGGAAATCATTACTCTGGGTAAGAACATACCTTTTATCCATGCTTTGAAGCAACAGTTTTCTAAATGATGTATTCTGATGGAAGAGTTTGATCTTACTCAGGCCTCAACAATCATCTTTCTATTTCACATAGCAAGAGTTTCCATAATGACACGTCGCAAATACATGTTTCTGCCTCATCATTGTAGTCCAGAACTTATCAGCCCTTTTTACATTTTTGTGGCATTTTTCATGGCAACAACTACAACCAGGATCGAAAAAGATCCTTTCAGTCATTAATGATACCTTTTTTCCAAACTAGCTCTTTATTCAGCACCATTTTGCCATAGAAAAACAGTTTACAAAAACTAAATTATAAAGGATTATCTGACTTTGTAATATTCACCATTAATAGCACGTTTTAAGTGCAGATCTGACTGATGAACATTTCATTCAATCAGGTGGTTCTCCCTATCCTGGTATATCAGGTCGAGATATTCATAAGCTAATCAAGAATGGATACAGAATGGAGAGACCGGAGACGTGCAGTCAGCAGATGTGAGTTGGATGAGAAACAAAAAGCATCCTTCTGAACATCTATCCTTATTACTAGGAATCTACCACTTACATAAGATTAATAATTTTCAAACAGCCCAGCCCTGTATATGATTTTAAGTGCGCTGAAGGTCTGTCGTCAGGCCTCATAAGCGATCGTTACCTGGTTGAACCAACCGGTTGACCGAGTTTCTTTGTAACAATTTATTACAAAAACATTGAGTTTAACATTTTTGCGTACGTAATTTGCGTGCTGAACGTGTCAAGTTGAGTTGTTATTTTGAAAGTGTTTCAACTTTATGAGTTGGCCGACTTTTGTTCTTACTTTCGATGATCATATTTTTTTTTCTGTCATTTCTTCAGCTACCAAATCATGTTATCCTGTTGGAGAGCTAATCCTGAAGAAAGACCAAGCTTCACAGATCTGAGAAACGAGCTCGAGAAACTGCTAGAAGAACAGGGGGACGAACAATACATAAGTGTCAACTGCGCTGATTTTGATGATTACTGCGCTCTGGTTGGAAACCAGAGCAGCTCAAGTGAAAACGAAGAACTTGCCTTGCTCACGAGTGATCAAAGTACGGCGATATAGACATATACGCGCACAAATGCCCAGGATTTATAAAATGAAGCAGTCTCAACAAAACACTACTATCGATATAAGTGAGACAAAGCATGTACTTGGAAATAGTTTTTAAAAATCAGTTAGTCAGCCTTTGCCTCCTCTACGAACCTAATGGTGCATTAAGGGGTCTTTTCCTAAGGTTGGGATAATCTGGGGTTTAGTGATTAAATCTGCGGTAAATGTCACCAGAAATTCCAATCAGAATTAGAGCGGAGGAGCCAATAAGATCTCAAAATAATTCGAAGAGAAACTCGCTTCAAACGCGAGAAATGACAGTGATCAAGTTGCCAATGATTTACTCTTGTATCTGATTGGGTGAAAGGGTGGCGTGAGTTTGTTCGACCAATCACAGAGTGAAAGAACAAAAACCAGTGCACCCTCTGTCACCCTTTGTTCAATTAATACAGAAAAAGTGGCGCTTCATAGAGTAGCCTTTGTTATATCATGTAAATCATTTTATGATAACTTAAAGTTGAATTGAAATCGATATTTTCGAATAATAATTTCCTTCTCTCTTTCATCTACTATGCACCCTGTGAACGTAAAACTTAGCGGAAAAGATTTAACTGTCCGGCCCGCTAAAATTATATGGTTGTCACTGATGCAGAAGTCTTTTTAAATTTGGCGGGCTATAAAAAGTTTGAGCCATCGTTTTTCTGTAAATCGTGTTTAATTTTTGCAGATGACTGAGCAATGATTACGAGTTTTCAATCATTTGAAACTTTTTGACTCTTAGGTTTAAATAGGGTGATGGATTTTACAGGTAACGGTTAAGATTTTTGCCATTGTACGAGTTACAATTAATTCTTTCGGTCACGGTCAAAAGAAAAACCTTTTACGGTTAACTTTTCACTTTGACGATCGGTTAAAATTTGCAAATTTCACGCCTAACTGTTTCTTTTCCTCTTTTGCCTTTCTATGGTAAACGGTTAACCTCATTAAAACCCTCATAATATACAGCAGTGATAAAATTAATGTAAATAGATTTAATGTAAATATTATTCCACAATAAAGATGTAATAAATATGTTCCTGACCTCGTTTTCTTAGCTTGTAAAATAGGTCGAAGTTATATACACCATAAATCGAAGGGTGAAAATTCAGTTCGGTCCGTAACTTGTGGCACGACCTCCGACTCAGCTGGCCCGAAGTTTTTGTGGCTGTATTAACCCGACTGTAATTAATCATAATGTAATAGCTACAAACGCGTAGCTTCAAAAGATAACAGCATAAAATTCTGGCGGATTCTTCGCAGACTGTATGTTGAAAATTATGTTTTTGTTTTCTGTAAGTAAACAAACTAGCAAATAAATATATAATTATGAAAAGGTGGGGAATTCTTACCCAAAGCCAAGATTCAATGAAGTAACACGTTTAATTTCTATTTTTAGTAAGGGATTCCCAGGTTTTCCTCACTTTGCTGCGATAATTGGGCGTAAAATGATCCAACTGCCTTGATCTACGATGGGCTCATGGTATTAATACTCACCTAAGAAAGCGAAGGGAACGATTGGCTCATAAAAAAAACTACAATTCATCTTCTCCGTGTCAAGTCTACGTTTTCATTCAGCTATTTTGTTTCAAGCTATCATTCACTGTTGTTTTTCACGCGTGCTACGCAAATTTGGTTTCACTGCCTAATATTTCACATATTAAACAGACATCGTCTTGTCAAAGAAACGGTTGATTTTAATGATATGGAGGTTTTAAAAGATAAATACTCTATTGAATTTCTCAGTAGAGTCAAACAGTGGGCCTTTACGCAGGCAGTCTCACCCTATTGGCGAGGTCCTTCCCGCAAGTCAAAAAAAAAAAAAAAGAAAACTTGAAAAAAATGAATCAGCACGCGCGCGGAATTCTGGGAGTGAGGCGCACGAAAAGTGGGCTCTACGTAGGGCAATACCTTTTTATCTTGTGCTTAACTGAGCGCGTCATTTGATTGACTTCAACTCAGTTTTTCCATTTGACTATAGAGTGACAAAGAAGTTCTCAGTATACATGAAAGAAACCAAAGGAAATGTTTAGGGACAGGCTGCAGTTGACAAACTTCATTTAGGCCCAGGAGAATGTTTAAAAATTTGAGCCAACACTATTAAAATTGTTTTAGAGAGTAAACATTGGCGGCAAATGTCAGTCCTTGGCGATAAGGCTGGCTGTTACATGCGTCTCATATGTATTTAAATTATAAAATCAGTACGCCAGATATGTCATCGATTTGAAGCGCACGTCTTTTAATTTTGTTGGTCATTAGTTAGGGTGATACTGTGTTCCCGAGATTACTTTGACGTGAAAAGCGTGCAGCACGAAACAGTTTGGACATATTCAACTCATTCAATAACTTCGATCTCTATGCATTTCACGAGAAACTTTTTTTGCAACACAACTGAATGAGTAGCGAGAGTAAAACAGGCAGAGCCTTTCACATTGTCTTTATTTATCCTACACTCATTGTGCTTTATTTTAATTAGATAAGATTGATTATTGTGTCTCTTTCGCGACGGCACCGCGCACGAAATTGTTCCACAGCTGACGATAAACTTCCGTACTTCTTTTTCACAAAAGCGTAAGTAAGTCTAACAAAACTTGCGCAAACAATCGCCACAAGGATTCCTGTTATGAACATCCACGGCAACGCTTTGCTCTCTAAAACGGGAACATGTTGATCTTCATGGCTTGAAACTTTTGTTGTTGTTTCTGTAGATTATGAACCCAAAACACAACACTCAATATTTTCCATCTTGGAGGTTTTTATGCTTATTAACCTATTTGGTCTTTCCACTGAAATAGAACCTCCACTAAGATTTTTATCAAAATTTACCTATCGGTTGTTTATCCTCAAGGAACGTAAATCTTACGCAGTTACCCTATTTTCAGCTTAAGAAATTAAACAAATTAAACTAATTAAACCAAGCAACATAACGTAAAAAAAAGAGAGAAAAAACAGGACAGAAGGCAAATCGGCTTAAGATTTTTTAAATTATTAACCATTCCTTTTCATTTGAATATCCATTTCTTTTCAAAGAAGTTTTTCTTGTTTATTTTTCTTTCAATTTCATATTTGACAGCTATCTTGTTCTGATAACCTTGTATTTTAGGGTGTATTTGTTTTCTTCTGCAGTCCCACAAAAACAGTTTTCCGATAATAATAAAGTAATTGAGTAGTGTATGTGAACGTAAATCTTGAAATGAAAAAGGGGGTTGCCTTACTCGTTTAGGAGCAGCACTCTTATTTCATATTTACCTGTCGTGTTAAATAAAATTACGGCCTCTGTTCCCACTCCCGTCACTGATGACACTGCAGCAACCTGCAATCAAAAAAAGATTCCTGTGACGTTGAAAGAGACAGTAGTTAGGTAAGTTTGCTACCCAAGAATTGAATGCAAGAAATGAACCAATGTGCCGAGAGGAAAAGCATGGGGTATCTGAAAAGAAGTTTTAACAGAACAGTCAATTTACGATTTTAGCGTGCGGTACACACAACTAGTTACCTTGAACATGTAGGCGAATCCGTTATGAAGGCCAAACACCCGAAAACTTGTATTTTCCTACAAAAGTTGAATTCAAATTAACATTAAGTTTAATTCTTTGATGGGTTTTCCTCGACTCGATGTGGTTCCTCGACATCGGTATGCATAATCAGCCCCTTTAGAAGTCTCTATTTGGTCTAAGAGGGTACATTTTAAAAGCAGCATTAAAACGAATCTTCCACTGATAATTTACATGTAAGCTAAATATTTTGATCTGCTCTTCACCTTTGTAGCTCCTTGTCGCCTTGCCTGATTCCGTCGCAATCTTGAAAAGCACAATGTTACCTTCGATCATATCTCCAATTTGTAAATAACTTCGGAGAATTGATGTGGCCCAAGATATTCGACTTACCGCTGGTAACCACGTGGAATCAAAATGTGGTTCTGTAAAAACTTCGTTCAAAACAGGAATCTTACTCCATTCTAATCTGTATTCCTGTACATGGTCTACAATCGGTATATTATGTGGCGGCCACCACGTGACTGTAGCCGTTGACGTATTGCGTGACAGGTGGGTGAGATGGACCAGTGTCAGGTTTTCTGGCGGTCCAAGCACTGGGGAATATTATGAAAGGATGAAACAAAGATATCAGTGACCGCTTTTGAAGACAATGGGCAAAGAAAAGATCTGCGTCGATCAATCAACGTTAATTGAACGCATCATCATGAGGATATTTACCCAGGGAAGGCGTGACAATACATATAGTACTTTTATTTTGTTTTTCATCAGAGGCTACGGAGATAACCTAAAAGAGATAAGAAAGGAATATTTCTAAAAAATTTCAATCTAAAAGAAAACAGTCCGAGGAAAATTTAAAGGTTTGCTTTAGGCAGGTTCATGCAAAATTTGCGGGAACAAATTTTCATGTGCATGTCCGCGCGGGATCTGTTAATCGTAATAGTGTGCTGATGGAGCTTATTTCATGATATAAAATCCTTCGAAAGAAGTGCTGGAAAAAGCAGTAATCTTGCATATGATACAGAGAGACGTTTTGACCAACCATATGATTTATGTCTTTTTCTTTTGTCGCATATCTTATATTTGTAATGCTGTCTTATTCATGATCAGGATTGTGACAAATGAGTAACTTACCTCTATAGTGTAATTTTCCATCGGCAGCAAACCTTCTACAATATAGTACATCCGTGTGCTTGCGACGTGCTGATGGCATTGAAAATAAAGGAAAATTGAAGACCCGAGGAAAAACTTTACCGGATTCTTGGCACCCAAGCCATCTTACTGGCAGATTTTCTTTGGGTGCACGACAAACATCAAGGAGGCTGTGAGCTGGTTTAGGAAACGACTAACGCACAAAGTAATGTTAGACTTCGAAGACAAACTCTAAAACGATTTAATTGAAAATTAGAGACATAAACAATTTTAAAAATTTTTATAATTTTAACATGATGGACTAAGGACTATCGGACCAACGGACCACCGGATCAACAGACTAACGGACCGACGGACTAATGGACTCACGGACTCACGGACTGACGAAATGGTTAAATGATGGACTAACGGACTAACGGACTGACAGATTAAAGGAACGATGGACTGAAAGACTGACAGACTAACGGACTTGCTAACAAACGGACTAACGGAGTAATGGATTAACAACTAATGACTAATGAAGGAGTGAAGAAGATGCGTTTGGAAGCGCTAAACTTTTTCAGACCTGTCATTTTCATAAACTTCCTAGAATATATATAACAAGGTTTACCTTGCTATGACTGACTTCAAATGCTTCACTTTTCCAATGATCCAAGTAAGTTGCTCTCCACTCGATTCTGTAGTCACAGATTTTGCCTATGAAATTATAAATGTTTAATAATAACTCATTTACGCTAGTCAATTGCAAGGACACTTATATAATGTGACAATTAAACTAACCTTTCCGCCGTGGAAGGAAAGCAAACGTAAAATAGTATTCTTCATCAATTTTGAAATAGCTAGACGAAACAAGACCAGTGTATTCACAACTCCTTATTCGTGACCGTTAGTAATTTCCCTGTTTTCGAGAGGAATGAGGAAATCTGATGTACTTATGGCTTTGCACTATCTCTAACTCACTATTACTCACTACGCGGTGCCAAATACCAGGTAAGATGTCCCTCAAATCTGTCACCAGCTTTCCTCACATGGGCCTGGAGGCCCTTGGGAGGGTCCAAATGAACTTCATCTATTAATGTAGAAAACGGTCGATGAGCGAAAAAGGTTTAACAAGATAAGCTTGGTGTCGCAGTTTCTACGAGTCTGAGTGAGAGACCGGGACTGGTTTTTGGGACTGAGACAAGTTTAAGGTGATACCTGCTAGCTTTTTTAACCAAACAGAAGATTGAATGAGTGAGGTTGAAGATGAATTTGATGCGCTTGTGCCAAATCCCATCATGAGTGTGTGAATGTTTTGTTGTTAATCTGAAAGGCTCAAAAGTCTCCCAACACCACCTTAGGAAGGTACGTTTCGGTCCATTAGTCAGGAACTAAAATATTTGAGAGATCC